ATTATTATTATTATTATTATTATTATTATTATTATTATTATTATTATATCTTTAGTGAGATTCACAGCCTTTGGGGTGGTTGGTAACTCAACAGCTCAAGTCCTAACCAAGAACCTAGGAACTGTTAAGGTAGTGTCAGAGGATATAAGCTGTTCCAAGTAGGGTGTTTTTTTTTGTAGAATCAGGGTATTCAAGTCTGATAAATTCAGAATTCCCAAATAGCAAGGTAGTCCTTTAGGTATTGCTCCAAGGGCTCCAATTACCCACAATTTCTTTTTCCAAAGTCGCTCAACTTCAATTTGTAAATCCTGATACTTTGTGATTTTTTTTTGCTGTGCGTCTTCAATTCGTGCATCAGCAGGTATTGCAGTGTCAATGAATCAACCCTTTTTCGTTTCAACTATTGTTGAATTCTGAAGTCCCACAAGATCTTGACTTTTTCATTCTCCAGAACCTTCTCAACCTGATGTTCCCAGTGGTTGTTACTATCCTCAAATCCAAACTTTTGACACCGTTTCCAGTGAATTATTTTAGCAATTCAGTTATGGCGTTCTAGGTAGTCAGTTTTTGAAATTTTGCTGCACCCACTGATTAAATGGTCAACTGTTTCATCTTTCTCATTACAGAGGTGGCATTTGCTGTTGGTGGTGATGTGTTGAATCTTTGCCTTCATGCAATTTGTGGCTAAGGCTTGTTCTTGAGCAGCCAAAATAAAGCCTTCCGTTTCTTTTTTCAGTATCCCTGATTTTAGCCAATTCCAAGTAAGCTTTTGGTCAGCTTTGCCTTCAGTACTTTTCAGGTATTGGCCATGCACAGCTTTGCTTTTCCGATTTTCAATTCACTTCTCAATTACTTCTTTTTTGTATTCAGCTTTTGACTTGGTTGTCTTCAAAAGGCCTCCTTTATGTACTTCCTTAATCCTTGGCTCTTCACTTTTCTGGATGTAGTCATTCAAGCTGTGTCTTTCTTCTTCTACACTCTGCTTTACCTGTAGGAGACCTCAACCACCCTCTGCTCTTGGTAAACATAATTGATCAACATCACTTTTAGGATGCAAGGCATGATTCATAGTCATAAGCTTCCTTGTTTTTCTGTCCAAATTGTCCAGCTCCATCTGGGTCCAGTCAATTATTCCTGCAGAGTATCGAATCACAGGTATAGCCCAGGTATTTATTGCTTTTATGATGTTTCCACATTCAATTTGGACTTTAAAATCCTGCAAATTATTATTATTACTATTATTATTATGAGGGATGTAAATCATTCTGGTTAATTTGCCAGGTGAAATGCAGATGTACAATATATTATTAATAATAGTATCTTATGACAGTGTTAAATTTGTCAAACCAAATGGTTTTATATATATATAACATAGGGAAGAAATCACTGAGCTATGCAATCCAATTTGAAAAGTACAAGTCTCCTTGAATCGCAGTTGACTTCTAGTGCTTTCCTATAAAAGGGCACTGTTGTTTCCTCTTTCAGGATGCTTTTCAACTTCCCAATATAGCCTACAACCCTGACAGGTTGTAGACTAGACTGATTAAGACACCTGCTGGTGTCTTAACAAAATACTAACCAAACTAACCGAAGTCGGTTTATTGGATGGATTTTGAATAGTATAGCTTCCCACATTAAGTCCCTTATGCTGCTAATATAAATACTGGCTATTCAAAAAAAGGAAAAGAATATTGATATTATACACCTTGTATGGAGGACAGCCTTTCACAATTAGCTTAGCAATTTAAGGTATTACTATAAGACTTTAATAGAGAAATCAAAGTACCATAAATCTTTAGAAATGAGGTTTTTATGCAGAAGTAGAATTAAAAGCTCACACATTTCAAGATCATTTTTACCGTTTCAAATCTGTGTGATACTTGGGAAAGCCTTGCAATGTCTTCAAGATCCAAGTAAGACATGATGTACAGAAGCAATGTATCCGGCAGTCGCACCAGGAAATCAAAATTACCTCTGCACAGATTGAAGATATGCTCCAGAGTGCTTGCTCCAAACACAATGGCTATTTGAACTGCAATTTTAGAAAATACAATTAAATCAGAGAAACTTAAATAAAACTAACAGATATTAAACAGGTTTATTGTTTACAATTTAGACAGTACTTAGGGAACCATTGTTGAAAGCCCACTGATCCTTGAGTTGGTGAACTTAGTTGAGATATTCAGTGTTATAACATACTTCCCTCAACCTCATCCTGAAATGAGCTGGGATGATTAATTCCATAATTCTGAGCAACATAACAATATAGTGATTCTTCTTTACTGTTCTCTACTAGGGCTACAAAGTATTTGAAAAGGACATATTGTAATACGCATTGCACAAGTGAAGCATCTGTCCTTAAAAGTATTATTGAAAGATTTGACTCAAAGTCCACCCTTAGTTGCTTTTTATGTGCCTGCATGCAGAGATAATGCTTCTATTGGGCTGCCAGAAAAAGCAAAAGCAAATCTTGAAATTGCAGGATGGTGAGAATAATGAAAATGAAAGCAACATGATGAAAGATAATGAAGAACGCTAACTGGCTGTAAAAGAAGACTTAACATAGAGATGGGCACCTCCTAGAGGCCGATCTTAGCATCATGGAGTAAAAGGGTTTTTTCTATTGTTTTGAGTGGAACAGAAAGTTTTGAAATGGTTTTTTAAAACTATGTTAAAATTACTGTAGAGCTTATTTTTTGTTTTTTATTGTTTTTTTACTTGAATAAGAAATTATGCTGATAATTTTAGCAATTGTGATCATACATGCTCACAAAATCTAGATGACTTTGCAAGACATGACTCAGGTTATCTTATCCAATACTGGCCACAGGGTATCTGAGCAATCCTCAGCACATTATTTAGTCAAAATCCTAGTGGCTTGGAGTGATGTCTTGATGCTTGCCCATTCTCAACAGGGTGCATATCATATTAAACAGAGCTGCTAGATGATATTTCACAAGGTAATATATTTTTTTTAAATTTATTTATGCTCTTATAGTCAGACTGGAGATTCAAACCTGAGTTCGTACTTATGTTCAGTCTTGGTCACCACTTGTTTTATACTACTGGTGCTCTAGGTTTCTCTTCAATTGTTTTATATGACAGAGCTCCTTAGTGAATGAAGGAATTTCCTGGGGTTGAGGGGCAAGCAAAAATTGTTTGATAGGAATTGCACTTAGTGTACTTATCACCTCTGAGTTTCAGAGACTAATCAAGTATATAATTAAACTATTTGTCAATTCAATGGCAAAATCTCCAAGGAATCTGAATGACTTTCTGTAGAAATCTATTCAGCTGCATAAGATGAATAAAGTAGCATCCAAATGTGTCTTCCATCTATAAAATAGATAGTATAGACAGGGGTGGACTGCTGGGGGCTCACGGGGGTTTGGGAGAGCCCCTAGCTAAGATTCTGCACAGTTTGGAAAAACCCCAAAGCCCACTCCTAGCTGGCCACACCCACTCCCCCTCACCCTTCCCAGGAGTCCCCACGCGGCCTGTTTCGGACGCATGTAAGCACAGGGCACAGGCAAAGGCTCAGGGTAGGTAAAAAAAACGGGCCTCCAGGAAGGCCAGAAATGGGCCCGTTTCTGGCTCCCAGAGAGCCTCTGGAGTCCGGGGAGGCTGTTTTCATCTTCCTGGAGGCTCAAGGAAAGCCATGATGCCGGAGGCTGACTAGGCCATGCCCACCATGGCCACACCCACCCAGCAACCGGGCAGAAACCCATTGCTAAAATTTTTGAAGCCCAGCCCTGAGTATATAGATGATAGTGCCATATAATTTCATTATATATATATATATTAATCTGTCTTATTTTTCTAAATAACTCAAGGCAGCAAATCTAGCTAATACTCTTTACTGCTATTTTCTCCACAACAATCCTGTGAGGTAGATTGAGAGAGGTCCGAAGAATAATGACTGGCCCAAAGTCACTTACCTGGCTTTCAGGGCTGGGACTAAAACTCAGTCTTCTGGTTTCTAGCCTGATGCCTTAACCACTACACCAAACTGGCTCTTATGATGTATGGCTCTCCATTTGTTTACATTATACACTTTCCAAGATAATGATGATGATGCAAAAATAATTGATATTGTATTTACACATTTTCTAGAAAACTAAGATTAATTCTATTTCATAAGCTATAAGATACAACATAGATGGATTCAGATATTATCTTTCTGCTAATGGAATCTTCCCAACAAAGCATTTTTATCAAAATGGCTTCATTTAGGTAGAACATTCCTGTGTGGATGGAATCCTTGTTTAAACATTTCTTATTGACAATCAGAATGAACTGGAATGGACAATACACACATATATTATAGAAGTTCTGATGTGTATAGAATGATGCATTTTCACAAAATCATACTTTGTACAAAATTAATTTAAATAGCATGCCAAAACTGTGCATAAATTGGAAAACATTATTAGTATTACATTTGATTATTGTTCATGGTTGATGTTCATTTATTATTACAAACATTTAAAAACTATTATCAGTTCCCCACTATTTAAAATGTTTATTCCATAAGCATTTTGCTATAAGCAATGTCTCACACAATGTTTTTCAGGGAAAACTAATAACTGACATACAATGGGTTGACAAATTTAATTTTACTTTATCTTTTCTTGAGATTAAACATTTTTTTTATAACAGCATGTCTATGAATGCCTCCTGACATTACAATGGAACTAAGCAAGGATTGCTTAAAAATGACTGATGTTGTATTTGCCTACTAGCATCTTTTTGAAATTAGCCCTTCAGAATCTCTCTCCATCTTCTTTTACTTTAAACCAATTGTAGTTACGTAGTGTCTGCCTTCTTGGAAAAAAAATAAAGGCCTTGAGGCTGTTTACTGAATTCACTACATCTTTGTCTAATATAAGGTCTGCAGAATTTCCAATATTGTTGCCTAATCTTAAAAAGCTGATTTTTGTCTATCATAATCAACTTTTTACTACATACAGTAACTCATTGGGTGAAATAATAAATCCCTTTTTTATTATGAAATCCACACTGATATAATGAAAATTGGAGTGTGGCTGAAATATGACCAAGAGAGACATAACTTTGTCTAAAATCAGGAAAATAACTAATATATTTTATGCATTTCTCATATAATGTTTAAAACAGAATACTGAGGTCTAAGCTGCTGCATATAATGTGCAATGATTTGAAGTGTATACTTTACTTCTCTACTTTGTGTATGTTACTTTTTGAGGGCATAGGGTTGAAATATACACTGCTTGTAATAGTATTACATGAATTTATATTATTATATTGTAATTATTTATGCACTTGTTTATTTTGTTGCTTGCTTACTGTATACAGTAACGCCCAGGATTGTAGTTAAGAGTTTAAGCCAATTCACTTGCTGAGATGGAATAAAAATAAACAAATACTATTTTTCTCCTATTATTTAGTTCATGATTGGGAATAATTAACCTAGCTTCCTGAATAATAAAGATCTAATTTTCCAAAACAATTCTGAATCATCTAAATTTTATGCAAATTTTTTACCAACTGTAAGTAAACGAGATGTAACACATTTCAAGTGTATTCTAGGGAATACAAATTCATATTTTGGAGGAAGATAAATTAGGAGGACTAAGCAGCACTTCAGCTTTCATCCGAAAAGATGGCTTTGGAGTATGGGGATATGAAGATTGCAACTCAAACAGATGAGATTTTTCTTGGGATTACAATTCTTGGAAATGTTATTTTGGTAGCGTTAGTTAAGTGGTAGTTTTGAATGTTATTGCATTTTTCATATACACTGCTCAAAAAAATAAAGGGAACACAAAAATAAGAGATCCTAGATCTGAATGAATGAAATATTCTTATTAAATATGACCAAAATATATTTTGGTCATTACATACTTGAATGAGCTGACAACAAAATCACACAAAAATTATCAATGGAAATCAAATTTAGCAACCCATGGAGGTCTGGATTTGGAGTTACACTCAAAATTAAAGTGGAAAAAAACACTACAGGCTGATCCAACTTTGATGTAATGTCCTTAAAATAAGTCAGAATGAGGCTCAGTAGTGTGTGTGGCCTCCACGTGCTTGTATGACCTCTCTACAATGCCTGGGCATGCTCCTGATGAGGTGGCGGATGGTTTCCTGAGGGATCTCCTCCCACACCTGGACTAAAGCATCCCCCAACTCCTGGACAGTCTGGTGCAATGTGGCATTGGTAGATAGAGCAAGGCATGTCCCAGATGTGCTCAATTGGATTCATGTCTGGGGAATGGGCGGGCCAGTCCATAGCATCAATGTCTTCACCTTGCAGGAACTGCTGACACACTCCAGCCACATGAGGTCTAGCATTGTCTTGCATTAGGAGGAACCCAGGGCCAACCGCACCAGCATATGGTCGCACAAGGGGTCTGAGGATCTCATCTCGGTACCTAATGGCAGTCAGGTTACCTCTGGCGAGCACATGGAGGGCTGTGCAGCCCCCTAAAGAAATGCCACCCCACATCATTACTGACCCACTGCCAAACTGGTCATGCTGGAGGATGCTGCAGGCAGCAGAACGTTCTCCATGGTGTCTCCAGACCCTGTCACATCTGTCACACGTGCTCAGTGTGAACCTGCTTTCATCTGTGAAGAGCACAGGGCGCCAGTGGTGAATTTGCCAATCTTGGTGTTCTCTGGCAAATGCCAAACGTTCTGCACAGTGTTGGGCTGGAAGCACAACCCCCACCTGTGGACGTCAGGCCCTCATACCACCCTCATGGAGTCTGTTTCTGACAGTTTGAGCAGCCACATGCACATTTGTGGCCCGCTGGAAGTCATTTTGCAGGACTCTGGCAATGTTCCTCCTGTCCCTCCTTGCACAAAGGCGGAGGTAGCAGTCCTGATGCTGGGTTGTTGCCCTCCTACGGCTTCCTCCACATCTCCTGATGTACTGGCCTGTCTCCTGGTAGCGCCTCCATGCTCTGGACACTACGCTGACAGACACAGCAAACCTTCTTGCCACAGCTCGCATTGATGTGCCATCTTGAATGAGCTGCACTACCTGAGCCACTTGTGTGGGTTGTAGACTCCGTCTCATGCTACCACTAGAGTGAAAGCACCGCCAGCATTCAAAAGTGACCAAATCATCAGCCAGAAAGCATAGGAACTGAGAAGTGGTCTCTGGTCACCACCTGCAGAACCACTCCTTTATTGGGGATGTCTTGCTAACTGCCTATACTTTCTACCTGTGGTCTATTCCATTTGCACAACAGCATGTGAAATTGATTGTCAATCAGTGTTGCTACCTAAGTGGACAGTTTGTTTTCACAGAAGTGTGATTGACTTGGAGTTACATTGTGTTGTTTAAGTGTTCCCTTTATTTTTTTGAGCAGTGTAGTTTATCTGTTGTAAATGACTGAATCGAAATCCATAATTATTTCGTTTGGCACAAATAATGGATATTTCATCCCAAATTTTAACACTTTTTTAAAAAGATGTCAAATTATTAGCACTATATCAGTGGTGGTGAACCTTTTCGGCACCAAGTGCCGAAAGGTGTGCGCGCACAAAGACTAGCTAGGTGGCACATGGATGCACGTTAGAAACCAGAAGACCAGGTGGCTGGCATGCATATGCAGGCTGGGAGCTACACTTTCGGTTTCCAGCTCTGCCATGTGTGCGAAGACCAGCTGGCCAGCGCTCATGCATGCATGCACACCAGCTGGCTGGCATGCATGCGTGCGCCGGAACCCAGAAGAGCAACAGGTTATGGCTGGTGTACCTGGAGAGATCGCTCTGCATGCCATCATGGCACTATATTATGCCTTCACATTTGTCATCAAAATAAAAGTGTTCTGTTATTGGAAAGCCTAGTTTATATATAATTGTTAAAAATAGGACTTATCACATTTTCTTTAAACATGCATTTTCTTCAGACTAGTACATTCATTGAGCTATGACTAAATTCATAGTATTCTACTTTGGAGGGAGGGATTATCCAAGAAATCTTCATGAGATTCTTTGAGTTCTCCAGGCCTTGCTTCACGGTATTCACTCCGAAGAGAAATTTTCCACCACCTGAAAATTACCTATGAATGGAGAACAGTGACAAGTATTTAGAGAAATCATTTAGATAAACAACTGATATAGTGATTAAGAAGATGGACTGAGAATGGGGAGGCTCCAATTAGGCAAAGATGATTTAGAGCCACTCACTTTTCTCAGTCCTAATCAGAATCAGGCTCTATGGCAAGCTTACTGAACATTTCCTGCTTCATTGTATCATGTATTGATAAGCTCACTGCAAAAACAAGGCAAACACATGCAAAAAAGCAGAGCCTGCACATTAAGTGAGACACTCAGAACATTAATATTTATATAAAATAATTCAGGATGGACATTAATAAATATATTGGAATCTAAAGTCTCTAACTGGCTTCCTTCTTGGAAAACACATAACTTCTTTACTAGGTTTGCACATCACACTTAACAATGGTTCGTTTATTAATGATTTACTCAATCCAATTTTGCAGATTCACATAATACAGTTAACCACAAAATAATCACAGATTTCCATTGAGCCAAAATATGATTGGGTTATTTGTGATTCAGTCACACAAATATAACATAGGATTGACTTAGCCACCGAGGTGCTTTGCACCAAAAAAGAGAACACTTCATATAGTCAGGATTGGGGATTGTCCAATTTTAATTTGACCAATAGACTTCAAATGCTGATAAAATATTTTGGGGAAATTCAATATTAAAAGTAGCGTTTCATATGCTGTTTAGAAGTTTGAGCTTAAAAATGCCCTACAAAGAATCAATTGCAAATAAATTACTTGTATTTTGAAAAGCTCCAAATTTTGTCATCTAAAATAATGTGAAAGAATAATACTAATAATACTTCCTTACAAAATATTTTATCTTTCTTTGCTACTGGATAGAGAAGGTACATCAAGCACTTTGTTATAGAACACAAGATAAAATTATACTGATACACTTCAGAAATAAAGGTATTTCTTAAAGATGGACAGATAAGATGTGCCATGGAAATAGGTTCAAAATAATGTGTGGATCATGTTCTGGAATACGTAGTTGTGCTAATCTCATTGGTCTATGGAGTGCTGCACTGACGTAAGATGTATATGCATTTTATGCTGTTATACAGTTTTACCCTCTTCATTCGGTAGAGTTTGTCAAATCAGTATTTTTGGTTATTATATATACCTGTGTTTCATTGTGCTATTTGGCTATATCAATATTTTAATCAATATTAGCCGAACATTATATAAAGAACCAATCAAGATTACCTAGCAAATAAGTAAATAAGTCCTTAAGAATCAGAGAGAAGAAAAAATACCAGATGGGATTCTGCTTTTATATTTAGTTTATTGACATGATGCATTCAAGTAAAAAAGCCTTAATACCTTAATTTATTGTACAGTTATCCACTACAAAAACAAACAAACAAAATACAGGCAGATCTTTCTGGATACAAAATTTGAGAAACCATCCAATTGTTCAAAATTAAATCTATGAATACAACATTAATCAATTTGCCATATTTAAGAATACTAGTAAGATTGCTTTTAAAATCTTAAGACAGAATAGCTATAACACAGATGATTGACACAAATGATTTTATCATTATTCCTTAAATAAGGAATGTTCCCTTCCTATTCTGATTTATATAAATATACTCATTAAAGTAATTGCTGAAAATCCCGAGATTAAATGCTGTGATATTTCCCACAATATTTCTTGGAAAACACATAGAAATGTTTTAAAGGAGAGCTAAAGTAAACATTTAGAATAAGCAGCTTTGGATCTTTCAGATGATGATCCATCTTAGCAAAATGTTTTTAAAGATTTTTTAAAAAATGATATGCACTATATTTAACTGGATTTATTTGGAATCTTAAATCACCATGATACAATATTCAGCATTTAATGAGAACCTAACAATGATTAAACAAACCATTGATTTGTGTCATTTGTGAACCTAACCAGAGAGCAAAATTGTGGAGTGAGAGCAGATTCATCCAATAAAATTTAGCCAATCTCTCATTCTTCTTAAAAATGATGAGTATACACTCAAAACCGTATCAGGGAAACTGGGTGGCTTTCTTCCATTTTAGCTTGACTTTGAATTTGCACATGAGTTGTTTATGATCTATTCTACAGTCAGCCATAGTCTTTGCTGTTATAATTAAGCTCTTTGTGCTAATAATATCTGTAGTTTTATTTCTGTGTACACCATCTGGTGATATTTATGTATATAGGTATTGATATGGTCATTGGAATATAGTGTAAGCAAGGAAGAAGTGATTGGACTGGCAGAAATTGTAAGTTGACCTGCTTCATTTCAGTTTCTTAAGTCTATACAGCTAAATTACATTTTCCTTTGTAATATTTCCAACTTTGGTAATCCAGTCTCCAAATACAAGCAGAACATCTTGCTTACATATTTTGTCAACTTCAGATTAACTCCTTCTTCTTCTGCATCAGTAGTTCGAGCATAAACTTGGATAAGTGTCATAATAAATGGTTGCCTGTGACAAATATTTTATACTATTTAATTGATTGCGTTGTTCCCAAGTACTGCCTTTGTTTTAGCTTTCTTGATTATGAAAGAAACCCTGCTTCTTCTTGGTTTTTCATATTTGCAGTAATAAACAGTATGATTTTTTTGATTGAAAATTTCCAATTCCAGTCAATTTCAATGCAATGATACTAGACAGTTCAACGCATAGTCAATTATTTTGTCTTTCATTGTATGAACTCTCCCATGTAGATGCATCTTGTATATTTTTTCCACTATGTCTTTGCAGCTTCACATTTTCCTTTTTTGTATAGCAACCTCAGCAATTAGATATCTCAAAGGCTTTAATCTAGCCATTTTGTAAACTTCATTAATATTCCAAAAGATATTCAGCTCTTCCTCAATAACATGTTGAGTCCGTTAGACCTAAGAGGCCAATCAACCATTACTATTATCAATAATTTTATATTATCTATTCACTGTTAAATTTAGGGGTGGTTTGCCACTGTCATCTCTTCTGTGGTATGAAATGATGTCACTAATCATCTGCCTCCAGTATCTTGCTATGTTGCCGATACACAATAAACATACCTATTGGCTTTAGCAAAACAGCTTTGCTGGGATTATATAATCACAATGTACACACCTGGCATTCTTTGCTCACCTCTCCTAGAAACTGTCTGTCATCTCATGGAGGCAGGAGAGAAGGATTTGAGGGAGCAGGTCTTCTATTAGGAAATTATTAAAATATGTTCTAGTGTTGAATGAATTACTTTTTAAGCAATCTATCTTATTCTTTTTTTTTTTAAGTGACAATTCAGTTACCAGAAAAATACATTTTTATATTTACTTAAAAGCAACTGTAAGGAACCACAATTGTGCCAGGTGCAGTGCTTAACTGAAATCTGGCAATTTTATCTTAATCATCTGGTTTCTGAATTCTTGCCCTAATTTATCTGCTCAGGTTCTTGTATTTACTACATACTGATCTTTTCTATGCACTTCAGATTGTAACAGTTTTTGAGGTGGTATTCAGCAGGTTCTGACCAGTTCTGGAGAACCAGACGCAGAAATTTTGAGTAGTTCGAGTAGTTCGGAGAACCGGCACATATCACCTCTGACTGGAGATTTTATACTATCCTTCCCATGCCACGCCCACAGAACTGGTAGTAAAATTTTTTGAATCCCAGCCCCTTGCTACTAAATGGGCTGAGTATGGGAATAAAATCCAAAGAAGACTGAGGACATAATACTGACTTGTTTAGTGCATGGTTTCTAAAACACTAGTACTAAAAAATATTTACTTAGAAATAAGAAATATAAAACACTCCGCTCTTCCAAAGAATCTCGCTTTCATGTAATTTTGTAGGTGTAAAAGCAAAAGCATTTATAGTATTTATTTTTCAAAATTATACTTATTGCCTATCTTTCTCTAGCTAGTTGTTCTTGAACAAGCATATTAAATTTTCCAAACTATTTTCCTTGCTCATGTATAATACGGGACAAATGTAACAAATCAGGAATTTTATTTATCAGTAAAATGAGAAATACATGTCAGCTTCTGCCTCTCTTCTATTTGGAGGCATACAGATTATGAATCAAACATAAATTTTATTACAAAGGGCTTAATTAGAAGATTTATTATTGCTTTAGTTATTGAACATCTTTATACCAGTTATTTGAGGCAAATAAGTATCAGAAATTGACAAATTTAAGCAAATTGTTGCTTTTCAGATATTACTATCACTTTTAGAAGTTCAGACAATGGCCATGCCCACAGAGGTTTAGAACTGTTGTAGCCTATTCCTATCTCAGCATTAAAAGTTGAGGGCCCCACCCGCGAAAATCATCTTATAAATTGCACCCGGGCATTTTTGTTTTTTGTTTTGTTAGTCCATCCTTACATTCCAGCACTGAATCAGAAACTGTCGGTAAGAAGAGGAGCACACGGCGAATCCCCCCCACCGCTTTCCTTCTTGTATTTTGCCCGCAAGGAACGTTATTCTCATAAAAAAGTAATCCACATTCCTTCTTTCCCTTCATCGGGGCACCGTCCACTATTCTTTCTTCTTCGATACTTAAGTCATCACCCTCCACGAGAAATGCCAAACAAATCTCTGAAGGCCGATAAAAAAAAAGCGGGGGGGAGAATAAAAATGTATACTCACTTCCTTCCTAGTAACGATGATTTGGTAGAAGTCTTTGCTGGGCGACGGCGCTTGTCCGCGCGTCTCGAACAAAGTATCGTCCAGGAGAGACGCCATTTTAGGACGCCAACTCCCAGTCGCTCTGGCAACCAGGAAGGGGCGGGCGAATGGAAGGTCACTGGAAGCTCAGCCCCCTCTCTTAAAGGAGACGACCAGTTTTTAGGGATAGAAGTCTCGGAGGTTTTTTATCACCCCCAGGAAGGAAAGAGAGACCTCGGAATCGCCACCGTTGGTGGGGGAGAGAGCGGACTGGAGCGATCTCGCCGACCCTGAGGGGAATAACGCTTGCACGTACCCCGGGGGTGACGACCCCAGCGGAGGGATACCTCTTTTCCAGCCAAGGAACGTCTGAGACGAGCGGAGGGGGACAGGAAGGATAGAACTACTGCCGATCTTTAAGAGAAGGAGGGGGGCTGCCGGCTCCGCGGCAGGGAGCGCAGACACAGGGAGGAGGAGAACACCCGCTGCCGGCGAGGGGGGGAGAGGGGGGCCCTCGGCCCCCTTTGGGGGTGAAGTAGGCCCCGACCTCCCTTTACGCCGCTGGAGGGGTACGGTAGCGGAGGCAGACGGCGCACTGATCGGTGCTGCGGCTTCAGCTGATAATTGAAGGGAAGAGGCGCCGGGCAGGACAGAAAAGGATCCAGGGCTACCGGGGAGGCACGGAGCGCTTTTGCGGAGGCCGCGTCGGGACAAACTAGGTACTGTGCGAAGGAGGGAAGGAGGGAGAAGACAACACGGGCGGCGGCGTTCACTTCTTTTGCTCGGCGACGCTTTTTTTGTGGGAATGGAAGGTCCCTTCGTTTCCTTGCCTGTTTTTTCCTGAGGGCCGAAGTGGGGGATGGGTGGGTGGGTGGGAAGGGACTGTTTTGAGGAGCCTGACAGAGGAGGCTTGTGGCGAGGGATGTCCTGGGCCGGGGAGGGGAAGGAAGGAAGGGCAGAGGACTTAGTTGGCTGTCTCATGGGTCGAGGCCTTACGCAGGTATGAGGAAGTAATCGGCCAGAAAGGAAAGGTGCTTTTTATTACCGAGGTGGGAAAACTCTCAGGGTCAAGGTGTTTCTCCCCCCGCCCCCTCCTCGCCCCAAAGCAACGAAGTGACGAAAGGGAAGCCAGGGTGGCAGAAACGGAGCTGCTAAAATGGCCAAGCGGTAGGGTGAAGCTTATCGTGATTCAGCCCTTCCCTTCCTTTCTTTTCCTGTCTTTCTTTTGCTAGCTCTGATGTATCAAAAGGGTGAATTTGAAGACCCAGTTTATAGGCCCCTTTTCCAACATTGCCGAAAACGGACTCGGGCTCCTTTCTGTGGTTTGGGCCTATCCTAACCTCTTTTCCTACTTTGCTCTCTCTCTCTCTCTCTCTCTCTCCCCCCACCCCGCGGTAAAGATTGTCTTTATGGTTTTGTGTGGCTGTTAGATACAAAACGGCAGCTTTAATGTTTATCCTGAATCCGATTTGCATTTCGCTGTGCCTCGCTTCTCAAGTCCTCAGCTAATCACTATCTCCCCCTCCCCCCGCGCCTCTCTTATTTTTTTTCCATGGATGCTGTTATTGAGCCCCCTTGATACTCTTAGAAGCAAGGAAAAAAAATCCTTCTCAACTAGACATAACACTTCTTAAAAAAAAAAAAAAAGCTAAATTATCAGTTGTCTTAATGCTGGCTTTGGGGGCCGAAAACTGGGGAAATCATATTGTGTAGTTGGGGGGGAGGGGGGGGGAGAAGAATGATCGTTAATAGATTCCCTTAGGTGTTGAATCCTAATACTGGAGCAGATTGTTTTCACCCTGTAATTTTAGAGCTGGTTTGTGTTACTGGTAAATTCGAGAAGAAACTAGCCTAGCTTGTGGTTTGTTTGCATAACGCGTCGTATTTAGATATTCACATCCCCCCCCCTTTCCTTCCCGCACGACAACTTGAGCTTCTGCCGACTAGTACCGGGCTAACATTCAAAGTGATCTCGAGGCGTTTGCCAGCCTTGCAGGCCGAGCTGCCTGCTGTACAACTTTTATTGTTCCTTTCTCCTAATGGGCAGTCCTGTCGCGGTGGGGGGGGGGGGGTGTTCTTCCTAGTGGGCTTAAAAGACATCAGGAATTTGAAAAAGTTTACATTAGGAACAAGAAAACATTAAGGCGGGGAGAATGGAAAGTTTTGTTCAAGAGCTTTTAAGAAAGAAACATCGATGTATGGAACAAAGGTTCTGTCTGTATTACAGAGGCCTACATACTAGGCCTGACTATGTCGCATTTACCGAGAAAAGAAATGAAAGCTTGGCATTGGACTACAGTCAGTGTCTGGAACGCATTTTAGAAACATTTCTAGAATTCGTTAGACTTAATTTCAGGATTGCTTTGTCAGTGTAGCCCTGATCTAATAATTTAACGGGGAATTCTGCTTACTTTTAAGCTTTTTATTATTAGCCCAGTTAATTAACTAAGCATTGAATTGATACAGCTTTAAAGCCACATCCCATTACTCTTTTGACCAGGTCATTTCCCTATTTTATAATAGCTTTATTACAAGAATAGGTAGTACATATGTGAAAGGTTATGAAATAAGAGTTTGTTGTTTGTTTCATCTAATCCTATATTCCACAAATAAGGAATTATTTTCTTTACCCGTCTTTACCAATTGATGACATGTTTACAGCCTGCCTTCATATTAACAGACATGTTGGAAGGGGGTGAAATTTTATTGGCCAACAAAATCACATTTCAAAACTTTTGAAATTTCAAGTGTCAACTATTAATTTTTCATAATTTGCATTCAATATATCAATATGTTTCTATTCAAGTTTATTAACTTGAATAATAGTGTTAGAATTATTTTGTACACATGCAGTCTATTGGTTAAGAACCTTCCACTTATATAGTAATGTTGAATTGATGTCATTCTTACTAAACACTGATTAGGACTGGCATTTTATATATTTGAGAATGTACTGTATTAAAATTGAAGTTTCTGATTAGGTTTAGTTTGTAACCTGCTCTTAAATATTTTAAAATAAACACACTTGCATCAGATAGTTTAAAGAAAGGCATTAGAATCTTAAAAAAAATTAAAAGGGAGTGTGTGTTTGAGATATTAAAAGGTGGCCTTTATCCTAACCACTTAGTATACAGTAGCCTTGTACTAACAGGTGTTGTTCTACTACTAATTATGTTTGAATATTTCCTGTACTTTTGGGGGAAGTGGGAGATGTCCCATACTGACATTCTTTTCCTCTATATTGTTGTCAGATAAACAGGATAGAGGCTATACTGAATATCTAGGCAGAAGGCTATACTGTATGTATCTCTGTTGACTGGCTGGCTCTTCCAAGTATAGGAAATACATTCACTAATCAAATAAGAAATATAAAGGAGAATGTGTGATATCAGCAAAGTACTGGGAATGCTAATGTGGTCGAAAAGCTGGAGATAAGAAAGGTGTAAAGCCTAATAAGGTACAGATACAGGATAGTTGAAAAGTATAAAGAATTTGTAACATTTTGTTACGCTTTTTATGAATTATGTGTGTGTTCCTAGAATTAAATGAGTTTAGTATAGTAGATTTTGAAGTTACATGGAAATATTTTGGAGACTTTATTATCTTGCTTTATGGATATGATGCTGGCACCTAGGAACTGAAAATACTTTTCAGTTGAGAATATTTATCTGCTTTATACTTTGGGATGTTTAAAAGGCATGTCTGAGAACACCAGATTGTATCAGGGGAGAAGAAGACAGTGTAAACAGGTTACCTATATACATTTGTAATTTCTCTTTTTCTTTATACTTGAAGTAATAGAATACTCTGAAATAATTTCCACTAAGGCCCTTACATTCAAAAATATAAATGAAAAGGACATTCTAATAAACAATTCCTGCAATTTCTTTGATTAATTGAAGCTAGCACAGCATTCAACTGATTTGAAGATGTCTGACTGAAGGAATTATTAAAATGGGGTTGCTGAAATTTTTAATGAATAATGTAAAGTTATGGGCACTTGGGCCCTGACAGTAAGAACATCCTACTTAGTAGAAAAACTTATTAATAGCATCCTGAGATTGTATTTTCCTGCATTACAATATTTTCAACTTTATTCAAAGTTTTAGCTATATTGTACTCAATGTATTGTTTTCCTGGTTAGGTAAACTTGTCATCTCTGCTTCCTGTTAAATTTTGATGTAATAATTCTGTGTGTGAAATGGTTGATGTTAGTAATATGAGACACTTTGAGGTGTCCTTTCCAAACTATTGCTGCCAAGAATTTTTATTCTTTTATTCCTGTTTTTGCAGTAAAAACAACAACCTCCAAAACAGTTGTGTAGTAGATATGTCTAAGCTGGTTTTCCTTGAGCTGGTGGCGTTTATATGTGTTGGGACTATAGTATCTAGCATCAGCATAGAAATTGTTAGTTAAAAATTTTAGGGCTGCAGTCCCAACACTTGTGGAATATGTGAGATAGGAGAAAGATAACCTAAGCCAATTTAGACTTAATTTAAAACTTCTTCAATGTTGTTAATATAATGTAGATAGCCATATATTTAAATACATTGTATTAGTACTTCTAAATCTTTTAATCTCTTAATATTAAATCCTACAACTCAAAGAATCTGGGTTCCCTTAGGCTGTTTTTCAAGTAGATTTGTTTATGTATGAGTTCATACATAAAATTTGAAATTGTGTTGCTAAAATAATTTTTATTGCCACAATTGTAAGTCTGAGTGAGAATTAATAAAACTATCTCAAAAACATCAAGATCAACATCAACATCTAGCTAATTTTGCCTAATTTAAGAAAATTAACCTGCATTAGATCAGATTTAATATTTTGTGGGAGGCCACTAGGACCTAGAGCCTGAGAAGTAAAAAAGAAAATCCCAGAAGAGGGCAGTGGCAAACAACTTCCATATTGTTTCCAAGAAAATTATACATGATTTGTTCATGAATTACCAGAAATTCAGTTCTATTCAAATTAAAATTTCTAACTAAAGTAAAACCTTTTATTTTATTTTGCTTTTTAAGAGCAACATTTTCAAAGGCTGTTCTCAGTCCTAGGCTCTAGAAATACTGTTTGATATGCTGGGTTCCTATTCTTTT